GTATTGTGTTCATGTCGTGTTTTGATTGTTTCTTTCTAAATTTACAGTCAACCCGAACACAACCCGTGACACAAAATTTTTTAAAAACCGCAACACGACCACTTTACGGGTTGACACGACATGAAAATGACCCGTGACACGAAATTGACCCGTGAACTCAAAATTCACATAAAAATTGTATATTTTATTTAGGGTCCGTTTAGTTCGCTGATTCGAGTTTTTAATTCGAGTTAAGATGTGACGTTATGTGAGAGCTTTTTACTGTAACAAAAAAGTTAGATGTGACTGTTTTTTAGAGCTTTTTACTGTAGCAAAACTCGAATTCTAAACTCGAATCGACGAAATGAACGGGGCCTTAGTTTTTTACATATTAGAAATAACTTAAAATTCATAACACACTAAAATACAATAACATCCATTGAAATTAAACAAATTATAGTATAAGATTTTGAGTATAACTATCATAATATCACAAATTCATAATAAAATCAAAAATATATAATGAAAAATATATGTATTTTTTAATTTTTTACGAGTTTCGTGTCGTGTTCAGGTTGCGGGTCCAACCCGAAATTGACATGTGTTTTTTGTGTCAATTTCAGGTCGACCCAATTTTAACCTGAATCTCTTTTTTTTCTCAACCTTAACCTGCGAAATTCATATCATTTTCGAACCGTGTTGTCGTGTTGTGATCTATATTGCCAGCCCTATTGATATTAATACTATGTTAGGGGCGTTAAATAGGCAAAAGATGAAGCAATGTCTGTGCTCATTATGTGATTTAACAACCTATAATAACTTTTTTTTTAGTTTCAGCATTTCAGATTTTTATTTTCTACTATTCATGGATGACATTGGAGTGAGTGGCTTCTATACAATAAATGCTCTCCATTTTTGTGCTCGTTCTTAATCTTCTTGTTGCTACACCAATTTAGCTTGTCAATGCGCACAGCTTTAGTTGAAAACGAGGGGGAGCCCCTTGGATATCCGTTAGGCGTTGTTGACTTTCTTTTTCTTGGATTTCATCGGAACGTGTTTGAAGAATTTTCATTATTTTTGTTGCATGTTATATTTGGATTTAAAATCTGATTGTAATAGTATTGCTTTGTTTTTTTGGGTGAAATCTTGCAGTTAAAATACACTCTTTTTCAGATGCTAACTTAAAATTTTAACATGCATCTTTCATCTTTTTCAAACAAGCTTACGTAATAACAAGCCACTATTTCTCTCTAAATCAGACCACATTCCCACTCCCACTTCACACATTTCTCTTTGCACTCGTTATTTTACACAGTAGGTTGACAAAGGACCAAATGTTGTTGTATTTCTTGTTTGAGCGGCTTTCAAATGGCGTCTCGTATATAATTCCTAAGGTAATATATACACACATGTATACATATACATGCTCAAGCCTTAATGGGACGAAGTAACACCAAACAAATTTTGGTACAGTTTTTTTTTCTTTTTCTTTTTTTCTTTTCCCGATGTCTTCGTTTTTTTTTTCCTGCTCATTGCCTATGACAGGATATATTTTGCTCAATGTATTTTTTTTTCTCTCATTTTCTCCCAAAATGTTAGTTCATACAATAAAAAAAATATATGCGTATTACATTTTTTTATATAATATGTAATTTTCAAATAGTTTTCTATTGTTAGTAGATATCTTATTTACCATTGTTAATGTATCGCGTAAATTGGGGTTTCGACTAATTTAAGTGGACCGGATCAAAGTTTGTTAACCAAGAGTTGACCAAAACGTCACTCTCAAAAAGTTAGTCAAAAATGTTTAAAGTTGACTAAGTTGACCAACTGTCTGAAAAATACAGATAAAACGCGCATTAAACAGGAAATTAAACTGAACTAAAATAGAATACTTATTAAATAATCAATGGTTGAGATAAAAAATAACAAAATAATGGATAGAGGAGATTTTGACATGTGAAAAGAGGGATGAAGGAATGGCCGGCCAACTTGGTGAAGAAGAAATGAGATATTTTAGTAAATTTTGCAAAATGATCTTTAGAAAAGTCAAAATTTGCAACTTGAACCCTTGCTTTTGGGAAGGTCAGTTTATTAGTGAACAAACACAATGAAATGGTCATTTTTCATGTCAAGAACCCATGAGAGTTCATCCAAGAGAGAGAAGAATAAAAAAATTACTAAAAGTGAAGAAAAGTAAGTTTTAAGCGAGAATCGATCGAACTATTGAGGATTGCTAATTCTGGAGTTTGTTCTTCATTCTTCTATTCTAAGGTGAGATTTCAGTTTTCATTTTCTTTTTCTTACCTTGGCCGAATGGTTTAGAGTATGGAGAAAGGAATTGAAAGCTTAGGGTGCGTTTAGTTAGTATATTCATGTTATGATTTGAATTATGATTCGTGATTCGCTATAATATTTTTTCTTATAAAAAATACACGTAAATCAAGAATGATTCTGAATCATGATTTTAAATCTATGAATCAAACGTCATTAAAAGATGAATTTTAGGTTATTAGATTATATTTCTAGTAACTTTTAAGTATGAAAACCCTTTGCACATGAATTATAGTAGGACGAAGTAATACCAAACAAAATGTATACTATAATTAAGTTGATGACCAAACATGAATTAAGTTGATGACACGATGTATTTTCAATTCCACCACTGCATCCTTTAAGTTTTGTTTCTCTTCAAAACGAATTTAGTTTTTAATTTTAAATTTTTACAATTAAAATTTTTTTAAAAAATATCATATTTAATTTTTTTTATTATAATTAAAAATTCTTATAAAATATCACATAATTAAAATCCGTTTCGTTTTCAAGACCAGTCTGTTTTTTTTTTTCTTCTTTCATTTTTGTTCACTTTTGTTCAACTCTCTATCTCTCTCTCTCTCTCTTCCAAAAGCTTGAAAAGAAGAGCCATGGCGATTCGGTTCTCAGACCCCAGCCCTCTCAGCTAACCTTCTTCCACTCTAACCGCTTCCACCGCAAACTCGACGCCGCTCTCCGCCGCTCTCCGCCGCCGGTTCTCCAGAGCTTCCATCTCTGCGATTTGTAACTCCGCAGCTCTTCTGCACTCCTTGAAGGATTCAAATTCTATGCCCCAGAAACCCTCGGTTCTCACTTTCCAACAAGCAATTCAACGTCTCCAGGTCACTCTTCCACCATAGCCATTCCTTTCTTCACTTCAACTATTTATTAAAATGGACCTTCACGTTTATTCACTTATACATGTACACAGTACATTATTTCGGCTACTTTGTTCATACGGAATTGTGAGACATAGTCAAGAGTTTTGGTAGACGAAAATGTTCTTCTTCTTCTTGTTTTTTTTTTTTTTTTTTTTATAAAGATTTTGTTGATAGGTATAATGACAGTAATGGAAGTCAAATGAATCTGCTAAATGTGCTGCTTCGATCATACAACGATGGCTTGTTGTTAATGAAAAAAATTGTCATGATTGAACACCATATCTTTTTATAATATTTATGCATGCCAAATCGTTGATGATACATGAGTATTGGGCATCAGTTTGATGTTGTATAATACGATGTATCCCCCATCATTGATTGAAAATATTTCCAACAAAGAATTCGAGATATACTAGCATCTTATAATTATTCAGATAATTGTTCGTGTTGTTGCATATTAATGGAAACTAAGTAACTAATGGTGTCTATGTTGTATCAATGTTGTTTCTGCTCAAAAGTTGTACTTAGGTGTTATTGCAGTTTTTATATTTTTGCTACCTATATTAAACTAATGTTCATGACTCTTTTGCCTCACTAAGTTTCCATTGCTGGGACTATGAATCCTTTGACATGCCTAAGAGTTCTTGATCCTGAACCATAGAATGTTGCCTAAGTATGCAAAAGTTTGTTGTGACAATTACAATCAGTAAATAAATTACTAACTTTGTATTGATTTCCTGAAAGATAGTGTTACCATCTTTTGCAGTTTCATGTGCTTTGCCTCTGATATATTCGATGTATGTGCCAACCTATGTGTTTTTTTTTTTTTTTTTTTTAAGAATATAAGATAAACTATGACTGAAGATCAACATGCAAAGCCAAGCTCCTCTTTTCTTGCCAAGACATGCTAGCCTGCGAAACAGAGGAACACAAAAAATCATACCTTTTGAATTAAAATTAAGTGCTTTGTGCTGCTTAAACAAGTCATACCAAAGAATGATACCTTTTGAACACTACAAATCATACCTAGTGGTCCTTGGGTGTTCTATAAGAGAATATGGCTTTGAGCAGAGGTGGGTGATGTATGTTGACCATAGTAACTTGTTATATATAACTAATACAGAAATTTCAAAATGCTTCACTGTTTTAAGGTCACCTAGCCCGGTCTTAAACCCAAAAAGTTTAAGGTTGGTCTGGCTCAGTCCGGAATTTTATAAAGTATTTTCAAAAGAAATCTTTAAAAATATGGTGTTTGAGACGAGCTATCCCGACCCTAAAGGAGAGAGTCAGCCCAGTTTAACTCAGCTCTAAGCCCAAAAAATTTAGGACTAGACCGGACTAGGCCCGTGACAACAATAGTGGGCTTCAGGCTGGCCCGTTTATCCCAGCCTAAGCTTACAGCTCTAGTTTAAACGTATGAATGAGCGACAGCCTTCCAAATTACCCACAAGAATGCTTCTAAACCAACACGTACAGGCAAATCTATGAATGAATGCAAATACATGAGCCACTTCAACTGACCTCAATATGTGGCCGCACTCTATTAACTCGCTTGCAAGCCAATTCTGCAAGTGTTTTTTCAGCCGTGATGATAACTCCAGTTTTCTAAACCCGCAAACGTTAAATTTGTCGGTTCTCTAATCTCCATTGCTATCCTTTTATCTCCTGGATAATACAAACTTTTCTTTTGCATTTGGTTGATCATTTTAACAATCCATGCAATACTTGGATGGTTTCACTTTCACACTTGCGACAAGTTTGCCCAATCATTATACAATATAGACTTCGATGAATATGTAGCGTCTAAAAACTAACAAAGAGAAGTGCAAGAGAAGGGAGACAAAATCTATAAAACACTTATAATGGGGTGTGTTTGTCATTTCATGGAATAAGAAAGTAAGAATTAAGCACTATAAACCAAATCTTTAATTTTACCGTCCTACTGCCCTCTACTTAATGTACTGAGAAAGCCACTTGAAACCATCTCCATAGCCCATTTTCCTTACAATGCTGCACATGAAGACCTCAAGTGGGCGGACATTTGAATCTGCCAAGTTTACCTTACCTTTGCCTGTGGTAAAGTTGGTCAGGCCCAGGCTATAGCGCAGCTCATCTTCTGAAGCAGCATATGGGATATCGATCTTGTTTCCCAAAATAAGAAACGGAACATTCGCCAATACCTCGTCGGAGAGGAGAGCATCCAACTCTTTTTTTGACTCGGCGAATCTCTCCTTGTCAAAAGCATCCACCAGGTAAACAACCGCGTCCACCTTCACACACAAAATAAAGCAAATTTCTTTAAAAATAAAATGGAAGCCCAGTAAATAAATCAGAGACCTGGTATAGTAAAGCAAGACAATAACAAAAATTAAGCATAGTGGTCTATGGAAGGCCCCACTAATTCAGATTCCATAGAATTTTTTATTAAACAATCAGCAAAAGACTTCTCCCCGGGATATTCTTAAACGTGTTCAAGAATCACGTGTCGCTATATACAACTTCTATATGTTGGATATTCTTTTCCCTTAAACTTCGGTAACTAACCGAACAATGTGGTCCATCACATTCCATCACTTTAGGGACGTGATTAACCACGTCCACCCTCAGTTGCCCACCGTTGCCCACGTCTTGTGCACGTCCGAGAAGAACTCTGTGATAAGCAGAGTCTATTAAAGGGGCAATATACGTTGGTTTTGGTCCCCTAAGCCTGCAGTCTCTTTCAATTGCCAAAATACACCATCAAACAGAGATTGCGTGAGGTTTAGAAGAGCCTTAACTCGAATCAAACACTTTTCATAACCTTGAGTGAGTGAAAACGGCAATGGCAGGAGGTTCTCTTCGATCTGTTTCTTTAAATTTCACATTTGATCTAATTGCTATTTAGGATTGTTAAGAGCATGTTTAGATCATTAAGAAATTCTAACAGTTGGTATCAGAGCCTTAGTTTGTCTCTGCTTTGTTGTTCTTCACTCTGTTTTAATCTTTGTCAGTGTGAAAACTTTTGAATTCAAGGTTATGATTTAGACGTTTTTTATGGAAACTGAGATTAGGAATCATAGGAAATCGAATTTCTATCATTTTTGTGTTTTTAAATGTCGATTTTGGTGTCCTGGAAGCTAAGAAACCGTCGGGTTTCATTTCGGGTTGATACAGGGTCGAAGACGACCCGACTAGAGGTTGAAGATGATTCACGGGTGGCAAAAAACGACATGTCATTTTGCCTTTTGGTTTATAAAACGACATGTCGTTTCCTATTGCAAACATGCATAGGCCAATGCAAAAACGACATGTTGTTTTCATTTGACTAGGAAAATGACACGTTGTTTTCAACTAAAGAAAAGCGCAAGCAACAGGAAGAAACTACATGTCGTTGCCTTTTGGTTTATAAAACGACATGTCATTTTCTGTTGAAGATATGCGCAGGCCAGTGCCAAAACGACATGTTGTTTTCATTTGGCTATGAAAACGACGTGTTGTTTTCAATTAAAGAAATGTGCAAGCAACATGAAGAAACTACTGGTTCTCCATACCAGAATGGTGCGGCAGAAAGAAGAAACCTAACCTTAATGGACATGGTACGGAGTATGCATAGCAACTCCAAGCTTCCTGAATTCTTGTGGACCGAAGCTCTTAAAACGACAGCGTATATATTAAACCGAGTTCCAACCAAGGTTGTTCCAAAGACGCCTTTTGAGTTATTTAAGGGTTTGAAACCGAGTTTGTGACATGTGCGCGTTTGGAGATGCCCGTTTGAAGTAAGAGTTTATAACCCACATGAAAAGAAGCTAGACCCAAGGACTATTAGTGGGTATTTTATTAGATATGATGAAAAGTCTAAGGGATACAGATTCTAATGTCCATCTCACAGCCCTAGAATTGTGGAATCAAGAAATGCAAAGTTTCTTGAGAATGACTTTGATTAGTGGGAGCGATCGATTTCAGGACATTATTTCTGAAAGGAATCATATTGATACTCAACCTTACACTTCAAGTGACAGATTGATTGTCATTCACAGCACCCCTCAAGTTCAAACAGGTGTTGGACAACCAATTGTTAAAGTTTCACAAACTACTGATGACAATCCAGTGGATCAAGATGTTCAAGAATTACCAGAAATTATTGAACAACCAGTTGGACAACATGATCCTCAGAAAAATGTTGATACAACATTAAGGAGATCTACTAATGTAAGGAAATCAGCGATATCTAGTGATTATGTTATGTATCTATAAGAGTCTGACTACAACATTGGAGCCGAAAATGATCCTGAAACGTTTTCACAAGTCATGAGTTGCAAAGAATCAAATTTATGGTATGATGCTATGAAAGATGAGATGAATTCTATGGCAACTAATGGAGTCTGGGATCTTGTTGAGTTGTCTGATGGTGTCAAAGCCATAGGATGTAAATGAGTCTATAAGATGAAGAAAGACTCATTGGGCATCATTGAAAGATATAAAGCAAGACTCGTTGCTAAAGGGTTCACTCAAAAGGAATGAATTGACTACAAGGAGACCTTTTCTCCTATATTTAAGAAAGAATCTCTTCGTATCATTCTAGCATTAGTTGCACATTTTGACTTAGAGTTGCAACAAATGGATGTGAAAACGGTCTTTCTCAATGGAGAACTAGAAGAAGAGATTTACATGAAACAATCAGAAGGATTCTCTTCTAGTCGTGGTGAGCATTTAGTGTGCAAGCTTAAGAAATCCATATTGAAACAAGCCTTCCGTTAATGGTATTTGAAGTTTCATGATGTTATCTCTTCATTTGGTTTCGTGGAGAACATTATGGATCAATGTATATACCAGAAGGTCAGTGTGAGCAATATTTGTTTCCTTATTCTGTATGTGGATGACATTTTACTTGCAACCAATGATAAGGGTTTGCTATATGAAGTGAAACAATTTCTCTCTGAAACCTTTGACATGAAGGATATGGGTAATGTGTCGTATGTCATTGGCATTAAAATACATAGAGACAGATTTCGAGGTACTTTGGGCCTGTCTCAAGAGACCTATCTCAACAAGGTTTAAGAGAAATTTCGGATGAATGATTGTTCACCTAGTATAGCTCCCATTGTTAAGGGTGACAGGTTCAATTTAAACCAGTGCCCGAAGAATGATCTTGAATGGGAACAAATGAAAAACATTATTTATGCTTCTGTTGATGGAAGCCTGATGTATGCTCAAGTCTGCACAAGACCTGACATTGCATTTGTTGTTGGGATGTTGAGAAGATATTAAAGTAATCCAAGTGTGGACTACTGGAGAGTTGCAAAGAAGGTATTGAGGTATCTTAAGGGGACCACAGACTACATGCTTATGTACAGAAGGACTGAAAACTTAGAGGTGATTGGCTACTCTGATTCAGACTACGATGGCTACATTGATTCGCTAAAATCAACTTCAGGATATGTTTTTATGCTAGCCGGTGGAGCTGTATCTTGGAGAAGCGCAAAGCAAACATTGATTGCTACTTCCACTATAGAGGCTGAGTTCGTATCTTGTTTTGAGACTACATGTATGGATGAAGAGTGTCATTTCTGGGCTTAGGATTGTGGATTTGATTTCTAGGCCATTGAGGATATATTGTGACAATTCAGCTGCTGTTTTTATCGCTAAAAACAACAAAAGTGATAGTCAAAGCAAGCACATCGACATCAAGTACCTAACCATAAGAGAACGTGTTAAGGATAAGACAGTGGCTATTGAACACATTAGCACTGAATTGATGATTGTTGATCTTTTGACTAAAGGCATGCCACCATTGAAATTTAAGGATCATGTAAATAGAATGAGACTTGGTTCCATTGTGTAATTTTCGTTGTAAGAACGGATATTATTTTTAATGAAACTCTATTGTGATGTTTTCTCATATTTGTTTTCCTTGTGTACACATTCATTTATTTGTTGAGAAATATCTTTAATGTTTGGACTTAGAATAAGCATAGGGTTTATTCATTAAGTTATATATACTATTATTGAGAAACATTATGCATTGTAATACATGGAAGATAATACTCGATTTAGAGGACCTATCGCCGTGATTCATGTATTTTATTTCTTACAGTGGTGAATGATGGAATATATGGGCAAAGTGGGAGAATGTTGGATATTCTTTTCCCTTAAACTTTGGTAACCAACCGAACAATGTGGTCCATCACATTCCATCACTTTAGGGACGTGATTAACCACGTCCACCCTCAGTTGCCCACCGTTGCCCACATCTTGTCCACATCTTGTGCATGTCCGAGAAGGACTTTGTGATGGGCAGAGTCTATTAAAGGGGCAATGCACGTTGGTTTTGGTCCCCTAAGCCTCCAGTCTCTTTTAGTTGCCAAAATACATCACCAAACAGAGATTGAGTGAGGTTTGGAAGAGCCTTAACCCGAATCAAACACTTTTCATAACCTTGAGTGAGTGAAAATGGCAATGGTAGGAGGTGCTCTTCGATCCGTTTCTTTAAATTCCACATTTGATCTAATTACTATTTAAGATTGTTAAGAGCATGTTTAGATCATTAAAAAAATCTAACACTATAATGTTATCTTTCCACGGAACTAGAACTAAGAACATCTCTATGAGGTCAATAAGAAATAATCAGCAGTATATAGGTTGTAGTCTCACACTTCGGAAATTAGACAGCACTACTTAGAGATCTACATCTATTTCTGTAGTAAATGAAGTGAAGTACATTGCAGAGGAAAAGATGTATGTGCGATAAGGTACTATTAGCATACCTTCCTAAGAGAAAAGGTGCTATCAGCGAATTACCATCATTCATATCTGCCTCCCATGAATCAGATAAACATAAAAAACTTTATCTGGGATTATGAAGGCGAAAGCATATTACATCAATAATATGCATGTGAGAATAGAAACTAATTCACAGCAGATTTGTTGCTGTGAAGATAATCAATTGGGTATGCTAAACGCAAATTGGGGTTGACAAATTATTAACTTATCAAATTTCCATAGAAGTTTGAACGGCAATTAAAACACAGTCAACCCTTCATCTTTCAATTTTATTTGCAGAGTCTTTTGCATTTTTTTTCCTTTCATTCACAGTTTCATATAGCGGGAAAGCTCTCCGTTCCCAGTGCTATTATAGCTAGATACTCCATAATCACAAGAATCCGTTTAGAATTGGATTCCAACTCAGCATCTTTTGAAATTTCGAGAATCACGCAAGCTATTAAGCAAACTTGGAAGAAAAGCAAATAATATAGCTCAAACAGTTGCACACAAGGGAAAATCTAGTCGCCACTTGCAGAGAAAGCATATACTATACTACCCCCTCACGTCCTATTATTGATATAATATGGTATAATATACCTTGGCATAATAATCTTTCCAAACTCTACGAGCAATCTGATGGCCACCCAAATCAAAAGCCTTAAACTTGATTTTCCCAATACTCAATTCCTCGGATGTCGGATACTGTGTCGGTTGGTGTTGAACTAATCTCTGCGATTATCATCAGCAATATTCATAAAAAAGAACGGGAAAATAGCGAAAAATGAAATTAAAATATTTGTTCTTCTAGAAAATTGAGGATGATCAAACGCAATTGCTTCAGAAAAGTCTTTAGAAACTCAATCATGCACAGGTTCAGCTCAGAGCAAACACTGCGAAATTAATTGATCACTTCAGCCCTAAGAATCCAAATATTGACGATTTCGATTATAAAAAGAGTACCTATATTCCAAATTAAATCCAAATAACCATTGAATTTCACGAGACTCACAATTCACGGACTCGAATTAGGATTCATGGCGAATAAGGAGAAAATAGAGATAAAAAAAAGTCGTCTTTGAGCATATGAAGCAAGGTGGTTTTGCCGGCATTATCGAGCCCTAAAAACAAGATCTTTGCTTCCTTCTGCCACAATCCGAGCGACGCTAGAACTCCATAGAACCAATCCAGCAAAAACATGGTGCTTCGCCGAAAACTCACCACCAAAAACCGGTGGATCGGAGACCGCAAGAATCTCCAAATTCAGAGAGAGACCGGAAGTGGAACAGGAGAGAGAGAGAGAGAGAGAGAGAGTGTGTGTGAGTATTTCCACGTCATTGAATTGGGATCGTGGTATCCAATGAGGCAACGACAAAACCTACTTTAAATTTAAGTGGACAATTAATTTATTAATTTAAAATTATAATTTAAAATTATTCTTAATTTATGTGTATTTTTTTATAAAAAAATATTATAATAACTTATAAATTATAATTTAAATTATGTCACGAATTTTCATATTAAACCCCTGTAATTTTACATGGTTCACCCTCCGAGTTTCATTCATGTTTGTATCGGAAGATTGAACAAAAATAGTACGTCATTTTTTTTATTAACATAAATAATACGTGCTCTTTTGTAGGAGTGGAACAGCAACTTTAGATAGACCAAACGAGCCAATTCAGAGCTCATTATTGTCAGCCAAACTTGTTTAAGAGTATGCGAATTCGATTGATCTATAAAATTCAATTCAACCCGAAGTTTTGATTGAATTGAAAATGATTAAAATTTTTTAAACCAAAAGTTTTGGATTGGATTGCTGTTTGAAATCTGCGAATCTAAAACTATATATATACGTATATATAATTTTTATAATTATATTTAATTCTTTTTATAAGTTGAATTTTTCATTTCTTTTATCCTATGTATGTTTTGTTACTTTTCCAGAAAACTCAAGTATTACTTTAGAAGTTATGGATGTTGAATTACTTTAAAGTAACGATTAAGATTTCATTTTGAGTTTCACTAAATCTATTTTGTTATTGTTAATTGTGTTGTAACAATCTAGACTTTTTTTTTTTAATTTGAAGTAACAATATAGGTGTTTATTAATATTCATGTTGTGCTTTTTTTTTTTTATGGATGTTTATTAATTTATATTTTTAAAGGTCATAATACGTGAATCTATGAGTCCAATTCACAAAATTCGATAGGTTTTAAATTGGATTGGATTGGATCCAATCTGAAAATGTTTTGGATCGGATACGGATTTAATTTTTTCCAATCTGTAATTCTGGATCAGATTGCGGATTGATTTTCAATACGCGGATTGAGATCCGTGAACACTCCTATTTAAAAGTCTGAATCGCGATGGCTGATACTTTAAGCCTAAAACTATTTTTGTTCTGAACCGACCTTGAGTACTTTTTATTGTTCTGGACCATCCTGCTTTAGACTGGGCCGAGCAGTGAAAATAACGAGTCAGGCTTGGCTAGTGAAATTCCCACTTAGGCCGAGTTCTCGCCCGAACTTTCAGCTTTATGTGGGAGATTGCATGGAGCAACATATGAGGTGAATGTTACTAGGAAAAAGAGGGAAATAGGCTAATTTAAGAGATAATAAATATTGATGCACTTGAGTTTAGAGGTGTCAAATGGGCCGGGCCGTCCATGGATGGCCCGGCCCAGCCCGTAATAGTGTATGATTCGGCACGGCCCGGTTCGTTACTGTTACGGGCCGTGCCGGCACGGCACGTGTAATGGACTAGGGCTGGGCCTCAACTTCTCAGCCCGCGGCCCAAGCACGGCCCAAACACGTGGAGGCCCGCGGCACGGCCCTTATTCGGTCCGGCCTAAGCCCTGATTCGGCCCGGCCCAAGCCCGCGAAACGGCCCACGAAGAAGCCCATTTCATTTGGTCCAGTGGGCCCTTCGCGGGCCCAACATTCGGCACGTGACGGGCCTCCCGTTTGGCCCGTCACATGCCTCCCGTTTGGCATGTGATGGGCCAAACGGGAGGCCCGTCACGTGCCGCACGTTGGGCCCGCGAAGGGCCCAATGGGAAAAAACTGAATTTTAACCCAAAAATCCCCTATAAATACCCCTTAATTCCACCATAAATCCCACACAACAATTCACTCTAATCTTCTCATCTCACTCTCATTCTATCTCTCAACTTCTCTATTTGATTTTGATTCTAAGCTTTTTTCTCGTGTTCATTCATTTTCTAGCTATTTCATTTACAAAGTTCAATCAAGTTCTATCAATTTCCAAAAAATGGCCTCACTAAATTTCCCTGATTTTACTGCTCTTCCTGAGCTTGGTGAGGAGACATTTTTTGAGGAAAAAAATAATGCCTTCTAACCTCACCCCCACTGAACTAGAAAATGCTCCGGTGGATAATGCTTTAGTATACAACGAAGAAGCTGGAGAACGCAGCAGAGGAAAAAGACCGTGAACTTCTCCGGCATGGCAGCATTTCACCGAGGAGCCCC